TCTAGGGCAAGATGGTGACCCTGGTGATGGGGACCCCTGACTCTCTTTCTTCTTCTACAGCTTTTCCATGAGGTTTTCCTTAGTAGAGAGATAATCAGAGTGTGCGGTCATCAGTCACATTTCAGCTTTAAGCAGTTTCCTGTAGTTAGATACATCAAAGATTTCTGATTGGTTGTTACACCTTGTAAATTGTGTTACGAAATAACAGTAATAATGCTATATGTAAATGAAAGACCTATGCGCTGCCATGTTCTGACTATAGTAATAATATTAGAGAAAAGATTGCTGCACTCACTACTCAGGTGTACTCACACTCAAAATTAAATAAATTTAAAAAATGTGGTGCGCTATCTCATCATAAATAGAACCATAAGTTTTAGAAACACAGAATGACAGTCCAAGAAAATTTTTTTTTCCAAAAATAAATGTCCAATCCAGTATATGTTGTGTTATCATCCAGCAATAATCAACACCGTGCTTGACTTGTGGACCCCACTCCCTGCTCACCTTGACCATTGACCTATAGATTATAATAGGCCAAAAACTCGCTTTATAAGAAAAATGTGTCTCCAAATTTCTGATCGTGGAAGAAACACGCCATGGATCAGAAATTTGGAGACACATTTTTCGTATAAAGCGAGTAATAATGCTATATGTTGTGCAGTAAATCTGTGCTGAGAAGAATATGGAGTGTGTGTGTGCGTGGTGTGGTGGTGTTGGGGGCAGGGGCTTTCACAGCACTCAGTTACAAAAGCAAGCATTTATGTAAAAAAAAAACCCATCTTTCTTGACATTACATTAAAAATAATAGTTGGCGGTAACATTCAATAAAGGCTAAGCAAAGATCCAAGATTTATTGTCCCCTGTACATAATTACATCAAACTATAATATTAAATCATCCAAATTATATTGCAAATGCCCAAATGAAAGTCCCACACAACTACATTTTTGGTTTCGGTCAGAGCATTACAATGCACATAGTATTTGCACCTGTGCATATTGGTACACAAAATGCACTGTATATGTGCATTGGGGTGAAATTAAAAGTGAACCGTGTGTATCATGCACTGTACATTCCCTGTTCCACACCTCCTAATTCTGTAGGTTGCACTTTATGCTATACTTATGCTATGCACACTGCCTTATGCTGCATACTGTGCCATATGTTAACTATTTGGTTCTATTTCCCCTTATTTTCCTTCCATACTCCCAATGCTGCGACTTATTTTCCATCCACAGACACCAGTGATAGGGCTTATTATACTTCCACTGGCATCAATGATGGGGTTTATTTTTCTTACACAGACACCAACAATGGGTCTTATTTTCATTCCTCCGACCGTAATGATGGTTCTTATCTTATTTTGCTTCTACTGACACCAATGATAGGATTTATTTTACCGCTGCTTACATTAACATTGGGACTTATTTTACTCCCACTAACTCTAACAGCGAGACTTATTTTACTGCCACTGACTCTAATGGTGGGGTTTATTTTACTTTCCCTGACACAAATGATGGGACTTATTTTAGTATCACTGGCTCTAACAGTGAGACTTATTTTACTGCCACTGATACTAATGATTGTACTTATTTTGCTCACGCTAACATTAAGACTTAGTTTATTCTAACTGACTCTAAGGTCCTTTTCACACAAGTGATCCGATCAGGTCAACCTGTCAGTTTTTCAGACAGTCCTAATTGGATGGTCTATCCATTCTTATAGACAGATGGTTGTACACATACTATTGTCTGGTTATACCTTCCTAACTCTAGGTCTGATCCAGTCCGCTGAAAAAAGAAGAGACGGCTGGGGATCTGTCCTCTTCCATTAGGCGGAATGGATTGGAGGGTAGTCGGGTGTAAGGGGACAGCCCAAAGAGCAGAGTGGGCCCTTTCTGTGTTTGCTCTGCAGAAACTAAGCGAGCACTGATGTGTCATCTGCCCACTCTGCTCTGATCAGCAGGGGATCTGTGGGCAGATCCTTTCTGATCAGAACAGATTCTGCACAGAATCTGCCCCAGAAAGGGGCTCAATAGTGGGACTTATTTTATTTCCAGTGACACCAATGATCGGACCCTTTTTAATACCACTTATTTTGTATAAAAATAGCAAACTAGGGGGGCGCTACAAGCCATATGCCATGAAGCCACACTCACTTTATTAGCCACAGCCCCTGTGTCCAGCAGGCACAATTTATTCATATACACAGATGTCATTTCTAATTATTTTCAAATGTGAGTAGCCAGGATACATATTTATAAAGTCTAGAGTGGGGAAGAGTTAACATTTCTGTCAGGGTTTATTTCTGTCTGTGACCCCCTGTAGGGAGATTCTCTATAACTTTCTGCTTATGATTCCCATACAAGATCTAAGGGATGTAATTGTCACTGGAACAGGAAGGTGACACATCCCCGTGAGGGACATACAGTAGATGGCAGTAAACAGATCCACTCTGCTCTATCCAATAAAACAAAAAGTTTTGGCTGGAGTTGCAACATTCTTGTCAACACTGTGTTGGTCATAGGATGTTTAGTATAAGCAGTTTCCAAAATAGACATATGGCTAGTGGTGCAGTCTGATTTATATACAGTAAATCAAAGTCCAAGGGCTTAGTACACACTAACAGCCACTGGGTACATACATATGCAAGTCAGCCAGTATTCCAAAATGTTCAGTGTCAAAAACCTGATGTTTTGGATCACATTGAGGCCTCATGCAATCAGGATGTTTTGCTGTTCCTCCAGGGGAGGAAAACGCAGCTTAAAAAACACGCCTAAAGCTGCGTTTTGCATGCAGGTTTATGCATGGTCACACTTTTGGTATTAATGCATTCATTTGGCCAGAATAGTAATTTATTCTGACCATTAGAATGCATCAAAGCGTGAATGTGCATAAACGCACCTCTTCTAAATATGCAAGTGATGGGGTTTTTTTTTTCCTGCCTTTAAATACTCGTGCCTCTAAACACCTGCAAACACTTACCGTGCCTTGAAAAAGTATTTATACCCCTTGAAATTTTCCACATTATATCATGTTACAAGCGAAAACGTAAATGTATTGTATTGGGATTTTATGTGATAGACCAACACAAAGTGGCACATAATTGTGAAGTGGAAGGAAAATGATAAATGGTTTTCAAAATTGTTGACAAATATCTGAAAAGTGTGGTGTGTATTTATATTCAGCCCCCCTAAGTCAATACTTTGTAGAACCACCTTTTGCTGCAATTCCAGCTGCAAGTCTTTTTGGGGATGTCTCTACCAGCTTTGCACATCTAGAGAGTGACATTTTTGCCCAATCTTTGTAAAATATCTCAAGCTCTGTCAGATTGGATAGAGAGCGTCTGAACAGCAATTTTCAAGTCTTGTCATAGATTCTCAATTGGATTTAGGTCTGCCATTCTAACACATGAATATGCTTTGATCTAGACCATTTCATTGTAGCTCTGGCTGTATGTTTAGGGTCATTGTTCTGCTGGAAGGTGAACCTCCGCCCCAGCCTCAAGTCTTTTGCAGACTTTAATAGGTTTTCTTCTAAGATTGCCCTGTATTTGGCTCCATCCATCTTCCCATCAACTCTGACCAGCTTCCCGGTCCCTGCTGAAGAAAAGCATCCCCACAGCATGCTGCTGCCACCACCATGCTTCACGGTGTGGATGGTGTATTCAAGGTGATGTGCAGTGTTGGTTTTCCGCCACACATAGCGTTTTGCTTTTAGGCCAAAAAGTTAAATTTTCGTCTCATCTGATCAGAGCACCCAGAGCACCTTCTTCCACATGTTTGCTGTGTCCCTCAATGGCTTTCTTTCAACATTGGCTTTCTTCTTGCCACTCTTCCATAAAGAACAGATTTGTGCATGGCTAATAGTTGTCCTGTGCACAGATTCTCCCACCTGAGCGGTGGATCTCTGCAGCTCCTCCAGAGCTGTCATGGGCCTCTTGGCTGTTTCTCTGATTAATGCTCTCCTTGCCCGGCCTGTAAGTTTAGGTGGACGGCCATGTCTTGGTAGGTTTGCAGTTGTGCCATACTCTTTCCATTTTCGGATGATGGATTGAACAGTGCTCTGTGAGAGGTTCAAAGCTTGGGATATTTTTTATAACCTAACCCTGCTTTAAACTTCTCCACAACTTATCTCTGACCTGCCTGGTGTGTTCCTTGGCCTTCATGATGCTGTTTGTTCACTAATGTTCTCTAACAAACCTCTGAGGGCTTCACAGAACAGCTGTATTAATACTGAGATTAAATTACACACAGGTGGACTCTATTTACCAATTAGGTGACTTCTGAAGGCAATTAGTTCTACTACATTTTAGTTAGGGGTATCATAGCAAAGGAGGCTGAATACAAATGCACGCCAGACTTTTCAGATATTTATTTGCAAAATATTTTGAAAACCATTTATCACTTTCCTTCCACTTCACAAATATGTGCCACTTTGTGTTGGTCTATCACATAAAATCCCCAAAAAAAAATACATTTTTGGTTGTAACATGAAAAAATGTGGAAAATTTCAAGGGTTATGAATACTTTTTCAAGGCACTGTATGTGTGCATGGACACATAGGCTAACATAGAGCGGCTTATAGGGCAGAAAAAAATGTCAAAATCCTGTAAAAGCAGCTTTTTGGACATGCTTTGTGCATGAGGCCTGATGTGAATTACACCACTTAAGGCAATGATTCAATTAGCTATTAGAACTTGAAAACTGCATAATTATCAAAGATATGTAAACCAGACTAAATCGTCTTTTCTTTACCTCCTGCTTGTATAATAACTAGAACATCATGTATGGGCATACCTCTATATCCCAGCAAAGCAAGATCTATCTCTGCTTCTACAGCGAGACTGCTTAAAGGCAGCACCTGGGTAGTGAATTCAGTCCAGGACTAATGCACATATACTCTTCTGTGGAACATAATTGCGGTATTGTTTGACAAATAGACATCTGTAGTGTTACGTAAGGAATGCTGTTATGTGTGTTTTCTTTTCTCCATTTAGAGATGACTACCAGGAAGATGGGTTCTGTCAGCCCTACAGGGGCATCGCCTGTGCCAGATTCATTGGAAACAGAAGCATTTATGTGGATTCCCTCCAGATGCAGGGTGAAATTGAAAACCGAATTACAGGTAAAAACTACAAATCACTAGATAGAATTTTTCACATTTCCTAGAACTATATGATTTACAGAATCATATAAAAGTTATGATCAGTACAAGGTAACAACCCAGTGATCTATAAAACTTACAGCAGGGTGACCATAAAGGAAGCTTGTCTTGAAATTTATAAGCCGCTCTGCTTGCGAAAATACTAGTTGCTTAGCTGACATGCTTATCCAATGTCTAAAGTTACCCTGAGCAGGATGCACATCAGGAGTTCTGACTAAGGCTGGCCATACATTATACAATTTTCTCGTACAATTTTCCTCTAGTTTGACCAAAACCATATAATATGAGGTCAAACCTAAACACTTTGCATGCAGCCAGGCAGGTGCTTGCACTACATAGTTGAAGGTAAATACTAAAGGAAATTGAACAAGAAAATTGTATAATGTATGGCCAGCTTTAATTTCGTGAACATCTGTAGAAACGCACCATAACATATATGCTGTGTGTTGTGGTGTGCTATGTTAAAAAAAATGGCGCAAGGGCATTTTTCATCTGTTTTTATATGCTGGTAACGCATTCTATATGAAATTAGTGCATGTTCAGTAACACACCACACTAGACCAGAAAATTGTGATGGGGACTTTATTATGATTGCACGTTCTGGCTGTTTCCCTTTCTGGTGGATTCTGTAAGTGGTTTGAGCTGTCCCTTAAATTCCAAAATGTAAATTAACAGAAATCCAAACACGCTGTACTAGTAAATAAATATGGATATGGGGAACTATACATTTTACAAAAGCAGTTACATCTACTAAATGGATCTAAAAAAATTCTATAGTATTTGCACATAGTGCGTGTGTTTTGTGAAATTTTAAAGTCCCAAGAATCAATGATCTACATGATTCAGACCAAGCTACCCACTCCTTCCTTTTTTGTGTTTGAAATTCTTACGCTGTGTAAAGTATAATATGAAATATTTTCAGTACAACTAAGTTAGTTAAATTTTTCTAAGCAGCAGTTATATTTCACGGTGAAAGTTAGTGAAGTCAGACTGCAACAGCCTTCTGCTTTGTATTTGACATAATATAGAGCTATTATTTGGCGCCCTCTAATGTTAAAGTCAGCTAAAACACCATTTTCACATGTACAGTATATCTTTAGCACACTATGTTATACAGTTTTAATGTATTTTTAGAGGTCATAAAACATTTACATTTAAATGCTACATGTACTTCAGTAGTTTTTGCTTTATAAAGTATCATTCTAAATCTGCAGTTCTATATATCCTCTTGCAGATATAAATATAGCTTCATGCAAATCACATTATAATGTATGAGACGTTATGTCTACATATTAACTACTCCACTTAAAATGTAAGCAGTTGATGATTTACTCTATATGTTACTTGTTATAACAGCTCAGATACATTTCTTGTCATAGTGTAACACAAATTTAAATATAGAAAACTAAATATATAAATCTATATATAAATACATTTTTTCTGAAGTATTAGTCCTCATGCATACTGGACATTTTTACAGCTGGTGTTTTTTTCTACAGCCAGTAAACTCCCCAGCATGTTATACTATGTGTCCATGCACACATAGGCTTTAATCAGCATTTTTTGCCAGGGGCGTTTTTTGGCTCGGAAAAAAACAGAACTAGTGAGTTTCTAGAATTGCTTTTTAGTTGTAAAAACACTCTAACGTTGGTAAACTTGGAAAAACATGGTAAAATGCTGCAAACCGGCATTTTTTTTTTAGAAAATGTTTTAATTTTTTTGTAAAAAAATGCAAATCAAGAAAAATACGGATAAATGCTATTGCAAAAACACAAAAAAATGCAGAAAACCGCATTTTTAACGTGACTTTATACAGCTAACGCTACTGGCGTTTTTAAAGTGTACATGAGGACTAAGTGTTCCCTTTTTCTCCTTTTTTTGTCTTATAACATAGACAGTTGGAGCACATGTACCTGATTGTCTGATGTACCTGTTAATATTACAAGCCAAGACCATGGAATTACATATGTTGTAGACTGCATATTTGCCTGTTTTGTTTCAAATGCTTGCATATTTTCTTGAAATTTCTGTTATGATCAAGAATGTTCAAATTTTGCATGTTACCACGTGGGAACTATAGAGATGGTGTAATGGTGTGTCTATATTAACATTGTAGAGCACAAGTAATATTTCTTATGTCTATGCTATGTCAATGTATATTTATATATATATATATATATATATATATATATATATAAAGTGGAACTTCAGAGGAAAAAAAATGTGACTTTTGGTGTGTAGAAGCAAGGCACTTCTAGATTCAGATCACTGATGTGTAAGATAAAATCATAGTTTCATTCATGCTTGAAAGTACAGCTTGTGCTGTATTTCTGGCACTGTGTGAAAGGTATGAAAGCTATAGGAGCTGCTTCTCTCATACAGTGAAGAAAACCTGTTGTTTATTCATTTATTCTCCCTTTATTCTCACCTTGTATATTCACAAAACACAGTGGGTTTGATTTAGTAAAGGCAAATAGACTGTGCACTCTGCAAGTGCAGTTGCTCATGATCTTAGTAAATGAGGTAAAGCTTCACTGTGCAAAGAGAAGCCAATCACATGCAAGGAAAATAATAAAAAAAAAAAACAGCATTTTTGCTTGGGCATGATTGGATGATGGAAGCCAGCAGAGCTTCGGCTCATTTACAGAGCTCTTTGGAGCAACTGCACTTTGCAAAGTGCACAGTCTATTTGCCTTTAGTACATCAACCCCTTTTATTCTGTTCCCAGAATACAAGGCCCATGTGAATGGACAAGGAGAAATCCTGTTGTTTACCTGCTGTTCATCTCCCACTGTCCATTCACATAACACCTTGTCTTCTGTGAACAGAAGACAAGGCATTTTTTGAATGAACAAGGGGGGAGGAAGAACAGGATCCTTTCACTGTATGAGAACTGCAGCTCTTGTAACCAATGCATAGAAAGTACAGGATTCCTGGATTTCTGCTTTGAAGCAATTTTTTTAAATTTTAGTTAAAAGAAGTTAAGTGGCAAAATTATTGTCTGGAAATTACTTCTGTCAGTGTGACACCCATACAAGAAATGCAGAGTTGAGGTTGTTAGGCACAGACAGCAATTCAAATCACAATTGTTGTCTGTGTCTTCAATTGAGAGATTTCCCTTCATTTCCTGTCCCAAAAGGGATACGAGTTACAATAAAAACCTGACAGAGGCTATAACCCCTCCATTTTCTATCCAGCACAGATTCAAAAATCTTGGCTTGAGTTGAGCTTTAACAAGGTAATGAACACAATTTATAGAGCAAATTGGTTCACTACTTTGCTACAAAGGATCATATTTGTCACAAAGATGAATTTAGAAATTAAGAAGTAAGTTTAATTAGGCTGTTGTTTTCTTTCTAGCGGCATTCACCATGATCGGCACATCTACCCATCTGTCAGACCAGTGCTCGCAGTTTGCCATTCCATCATTTTGCCATTTTGTCTTCCCGCTTTGCGATGAACGTTCTAGAACCCCAAAGCCAAGGGAGTTATGCCGGGATGAGTGTGAAGTACTGGAAAATGACCTGTGCCATCAGGAATACAACATTGCTCGCTCCAATCCTCTTATACTCATGCAACTGCACCTTCCAAACTGTGAAGAACTGCCCCTACCAGAGAGCCCGGAGGCTGCAAACTGCATGAGAATTGGAATCCCAATGGAAAGGATGAACAGATGTAAGTTGCTGGTTTTACCCATTTTATAGCTCGGCGTGTGTGGCTGTCAGGCATCTTTCTTCCATTATGAAGTATTCATCTGAAGTGCAGTACACATATGTGGCCTGGTTCTGATTTGTAGTGTGTGCTGATCTTATGCATGGGTACAAGGTCATAGGTGTAATGGGACCTTCCATAGAAGTGCTCTCTCCCAGCATGCTCTGCTGGATGTCATTGAGGCCCACATAGAAATAGTTTCACTGATTAGTATGAGATAATGGATCATGTTACATCAAGACACACATTATCTGCACATTGTTTGTAAATATTCTTCAAAGACAGCTTGGCTGATGTATAACATTGCCTGTTTCTGTCCTGTGGTTACTCTTCATGTTTAGCATGTGTAAATGCCGTGACACTAGCACCAGATGTGCAGGGCTAATACACAATCCAGAACTAGCTGCAAGAAGAACCAGAAGACATGGTTTCAAAACAGCAGCACAAAGACCTGTCCCAGGGCTCAATGGAAGGCCATTTGATCATTTTACCAAAGTAGATTGCTCTCAGTCACATCTGAGACTAGCTCTCCTTAGTTAGGGCTACTTTTCCAAATGAGACAAAACATTTTACATGTCTTATTTTATAGAGATTTGTTCATGCCCCAGTGTGGACCCTTAGACAAACACACCTATGAAATTCACTGCTACGTGCTGGTGAAATCTTATATTGTACTATATACTATATAATATAAAATATACCAAGAATATAAAGTATAGTCCAGGCCATGTATTCCATTTTGAGACAGGAAGCCTTCTTTTTGTTTTTAAAATAGGTTGGTCATGCAAGATGGACAAATCCAACTGGCCAAATGATAAAAAAGTGCACAAGTAGAGGTTACCAGTGTGGACCTCATCATATCAACAGTTAGCAGATCAAGAAAAACAAACAGCTAAAATGGAGTGCATGTCTGAACTCTTCCAGTAAATGCTGGGATATGTTGGTCAACCACTATTGACAAATTAAGGACATGTATGGAGACAAGAACGGCCAAGGACAAGCTGACAGTGATAATGTCAGTGACCCTTTGAAAATATGTATCAAACACCACTTTTTACTTGCGTTTGTATAAAAATAAAAAAAAATCCCCCTCTCAACCCAGAAAACAATTTGGTGTATTGGCCTTTAAACCAAAATGATGTGATATGATATTCAACCAGAACCCCGTGTATCATATTACTACAGACCAAACACAAGTATCGAATAGTTAAAAAAATATGTACGTACAAGCAAAACATGTGCAATTGAATAGGAAACATTCTAAACGTGTATATATTGTAAACTGCGCTCTTTACAACTTATTTATTGTCCATATAGCTCCCCCCCCCCCCCACCAAAGAAAAAAAAACACATCCATATACAATCTGCAACAAATATCGACATGTCCTTGAATCCATATCATTTTTGGCAGGTAGCTCACAATTACTCAATATGCCATCACTGTCAACAGCATTCATGAATAATACAGTTTTTAAAGTCTTAAATTGACACTTAACTGTGTCTATTCAAGTACAGGGGTTAGACAAAAAATGGAAACACTACATGATTTGCAGGTGTGAAAGTGACAACATGTTTCCTGACACCTAGTTAACAGGTGGGAAGCCTCACTTTCCTCATTCACTGCGTGTGCTGCTAGTAGCACAGAGTTATGTCAGAGCTTGCTGAGCTTCAAAGGCTTCATGGGACTGAGATAGAGCTCTGCATTCACTTTTGTAGCAGTTGTTTCCTTATTCCAGGTCACAATCGTGCGCAATTTCCTTTTGTCTCTTTCGGTCAGTTGACCATGCCGTAACTGTTTATGCTTATCAGAAGACGTTTTCCCAGAAACTGTGTATGCCGTCACAACCTTTGATACTGTACCTCACGACATAGCAAATAACTTCTGCTTTAAACATGAAACTTCATCACTTTCACACCTGCAAATCATGTAGTGCTTCCATCTTTTTGTCTAACCCCTGTGTGTATTCTTAACTCCCTGTGCCTGCGTGGGTTTTCTCTGGGTTCTCCGGTTTCCTCTCACACTCCAAAGACATGCTGTTAGGTGAGTTGGCTCCTGTCTAAATTGGCCCTAGTATGTGTATGTATGAATGTAAGTTAGGGACCTTAGATTGTACGCCCCTTGAGGGTTAGGGACTGATGTGAATGTACAACATATATGTAAAGTGCTGTTAAATTGACTGCGCTATATAAGTACCTGAAATAAGTTAAACAAATAAAAAAACTCAAAAAAGTGACCTTCTGATGCAGTCAGTCTCCTCCAAATTTAAATTTTTTTTTTGCTGTGATCTGACTTTGTGGTAGAGGGTGGCTGCATTCCTTCTCCATGGTCCCAATGTATGTAGGTACATAGCCACCATCTAGTTTCCAAGATGGACTAGGGACTATGGGATTTGTAGTGTGCATAAAGCAGTGTATATGACCACAGCACAACTGCCAGTAACAGCACTTCCTGCTGCAGGCTGGCTTTGCAATTAGCAGTGGTATTATTCGCCTGCCATAGGCACTTTAGTTGGCTGTTAGGTTGCATATCTGATAGACCTGATAAGGAAGCTCCTATTGCTGACTGACAATGCTAATTAAAAGGCAGAGACTTCAAGCTGTCAGCCTCCAACAGGAAGACATTTTTCAACATGTTTACGGAAAAATGTTGTGCTTAAGAAAACTGTATACAGTGAGGGATGGTGCCAGACGGTCTGAAAAATATGGTTTACATACACTTTAATAAAGACTGCAGGACACTGTTAGATGGGTTTCTGGTTGAATGTTATAACTATTTGTTAGATGTTATTACTGGCAGACTCCAGACCTTGGGTGGAATCTGGAAGCCATTTTAGGGTATTTGAAGCAAAATGTGTGTATACATTGAACTAAATTTAAAGTTAAAAAAGAGAAAAAACAAATCTTAAAGCTAATGAGTAAAGATAACCTCTTTTAGCTGTACAATGTGATCACTGAGCTATCGGTTAAATTATGTGGCATCTGTTAAATGTCAGTCTCTATTTCTTATGTGCAATAAAAATTATGCAGGGTCCTTTAAAAGCTTGTATTAATATTATATTATTATACAGGATGTATATAGCGCCAACAGTTTGCTTAGCGCTTTACAATATAACGGGAGACAGTACAGGAACAATACAGTTCAATACAAGAGGGTTAGGAGGGCTCTACTCCTTGGATCTTACAATCTAATACTATATTTACAAAAAAGTGCTTTTTCTTCTTTCTTCAGATCAGCAGTGTTACAATGGTACTGGTACTGATTATCGAGGGTCAGTCAGTGTAACCAAGTCTGGACACCAGTGTCAGTCATGGAACAGCCAGTTCCCGCACAGTCATCAGCTGTCTGCTGCAGAATATCCAGAAATTGGTGGTGGACATGCATATTGTCGTAACCCTGGCGGCCAGATGGAGGGTCCTTGGTGTTTTACACTGAACAAGAATGTGCGCACAGAGCTGTGTGATGTGCCTGCTTGCCGTATGTATACAAATGGACAAAAGTGTAAACTTAATTGAAAAAAATGTTCTTAATAGCATTTCATTGTCCATTTAGCTAAGAGGGTATGGAAGCAGTCTGTTATGTGAAAATAATTCTTTCAACATTTACAACGTTAAGCCAATGCCTTTCAATCAGCAACAGCATTGTCAGTCTGCCACATATACTTTTTTAGTTGGCTATTGGGCTGCCTATCTGATAGACCCCAAAAGCAGCAGAACAACCAACTGAAGGAGTGCACAGGGCAAGTTGACAACACTTCTGCTAGTTGTGAAGCAGTGGCGCTGCGTTGTCTTCCTGAAAAAGGAAGTTCATTTTTTTTTGCTTCAGAAATCTGTACACAGTGAGACAAGATTCTAAACAGACTGAAAAAAATTGATTTTTGGTGTACATACACTTCAGCCAGGGACTCATCAACTGAAGAAGATTCAGTATTCTCCAGCTTCGCTCTGCTTTTACTGAGGTGTTACAGTGGGTATAGCAGATTGTTGTGTTGTGATATTTTGACAGTTATGAGGATTACATTTAGGATCAGCATGAAGCAATACTTCATGCATAGTATGTTTATTGTAACCCATCCTACACTGTGGTTTCTAAATCAATTTTAGAATTTAGTTATTCAGTCCTTCTACTGCACCTTTAAACGACTTTATTGTACTAGTTTATCTATTTTATTTTTATTCCATTTGCTTTACTATACAATTTTGGCAACAAGTATTGTAATGTTCACAGGTACCCGGGATAACACAAAGATGGAAATCCTGTACATATTGGTTCCCAGTATTGCTATCCCATTGGTCATTGCTTGTCTGTTCTTCCTGGTCTGCATGTGCCGCAATAAACAGAAAGCATCAGCTGCTACACCACAGAGACGTCAACTGATGGCCTCACCTAGCCAGGACATGGAGATGCCTCTTATGAACCAGCACAAGCAACAGGTAAATCTAAATATTCTTACAGCTAATGAGGACTTTTATCAAAATTGTCCAGGCAACTTCAACATGTTGAATCTTTTTTTATGTATGATATATAATACAGTGTTGCATATGTTTTATTATTTAACCAGGTAAGTAATTAGCAAAATGTAATGCTTTTATTAACATGCAGAAATGTTCAGCTTTTTTACTCTCCTACAAGTTAAAACCCAATTGAACTGTCATGTAAACCGGAACTCCAGGAATGATATTTTTCTAAGCTTACATTGATCCAGCATGGATCAATGTATGTATGCATATATGAAATTTGGAAGGATGCTGAAAATCACTAGTAATCAGCGCTACATACAGTGATAGCCATAATGCATTGGGCACTGCTCCAGCAACTTTAAATGCATGAAGAATACAAGGGGTGACTTGTTTGGCATCACAGCTATTCAGGTGATTTTTTAATTTTTTTTCATTGTATTTTATTTTATTTCCACTGAATACAAGGCATTCTCAGATTGAAGGAGGAGGAGAAGAAGGGCGGTTTACATCTTGATTTCCACCTTGTCTAATCAGAGAGCTACTTGATTTTCTTACAAATAGTGCCTAATAAACACTGATTTCCCAAAACACGTATCTGATTTGTAATGAAAATGCCTACAGTGAAGCAGAGAAAGTAAAAAAACCCAATGGAAAAATACATGTAAAATGGCTGTAATTATATGAATGTGAAGGCCAAAAGGCAGTCATTTTAAAGTAGGTCATAAGTAATTTTGGTCTGCAGTATATCCCTTCCTATTCTACGTAACCTGATTGTGGGCATTCTCTGGCCATTGTAATGGCGCTGTACTGCAGTACATTGGGGCATCTGTATGCAGGAAGTGTTATTGATTAGCTGCTCAGCCAAAAGTAGTCTGCCAGTATCACTGCACACAGGTCTTGCCTTGCTGGCAGGACTGAGCTCAGTAGGTAGACCAGTGGTTTCTACAGAGAGGGCCCACAACCATAGTCAGGTAAGTATAAAAATGGGGGATTGTCTATAGTAGTTTAGGTTAGATAGTAGAGGTAGGGTGATAAATAGACTAGGTCAGAAAGTGACTTTGGGTCCACTTTAACAATTTTTGTATATGTATTTAGTTTTCTTATGAAGGCATTCTAAAAAGGTTGTGTGTGCATTTGGTTATGAAGTTGTTTATTCTTTATTCTTAGGTCAAAGTAAAAGAAATAAACCTGTCCACTGTGAGGTTCATGGAAGAACTGGGTGAAGACCGTTTTGGGAAAGTATATAAAGGTCATCTCTTTGGTACTGCTCCTGGAGAACAGACACAAACAGTTGCCATTAAGACCCTGAAAGACAAAGTAGAAGTGGCTCTTCGAGAGGAATTTAAACATGAAGCCATGATGAGATCCAGGTTGCAGCACCCAAATGTTGTCTGCCTTCTTGGTACTGTGACTAAGGAACAGCCCATGAGTATGGTATTTAGTTACTCTCCGCTCAGTGACCTTCATGAGTTCCTGGTAATGAGATCTCCACATTCTGATGTAGGCAGCACAGATGATGACAAGACTGTGAAGTCTACCCTGGAGCCAGCTGATTTCCTCCACATCGTTACCCAGGTAGCTGCAGGGATGGAATTTCTGTCGAGTCACCATGTTGTACACAAAGATTTGGCTGCCAGAAATATTTTGGTCTTTGATAAATTGGCTGTGAAAATTTCTGATCTTGGCCTGTTTCGAGAAGTGTATGCTGCAGACTACTATAAGCTAGTGGGGAATTCAATGCTTCCAATAAGATGGATGTCCCCAGAAGCAATTGCATATGGAAAATGCACTATTGATTCTGATATCTGGTCCTATGGTGTGGTGTTGTGGGAAATCTTCAGTTATGGCTTGCAGCCATATTGTGGATATTCCAACCAAGATGTAATTGAAATGATAAGGAACCGCCAACTGCTTCTTTGCCCAGATGACTGTCCAGCCTGGATATATTCACTTATGCTCGAGTGCTGGAATGAATTTCCTGCCAGAAGGCCTAGATTTAAGGATATTCACACAAGACTAAGAACATGGGAAAATATGTCTAACTATAACAGTTCTGCACAAACGTCTGGAGCAAGTAACACAACACAGACAAGCTCACTTAGTACAAGTCCAGTTAGCAATGTCAGCAATGCTAGATACGTTGAACTGAAGCCTAAAGGGCGCCCATTTCCACAACCACAGTTTTTACCAATGAAAGGACAGATTAGACCAATGGTCCCACCCCCTCAGCTCTACATTCCAGTCAATGGGTATCAGCAGATGGCTGCATACTTTTATCCAGTCCAGATACCAATGCAAATGGCTCCTCAGCAGATGCCACCACAAATCATTCCAAAACCTGGATCACATCATAGTGGGAGTGGTTCCACAAGCACCGGTTATGTAACGACTGCACCATCAAATAACTCCATGGCTGACAGAGTGGCTCTTTTAGCTGATGGAAGTGATGAGGCACATGTAACAGCAGAGGACGTGTCTCAGAACCCTGTTCAAGAGGAGGAAGAAGGTTCCGTACCAGAGACAGAATTGCTGGGGGATAATGATACTTCCCCATTAGATGAAACAGATATTCAGTCAGAAGCTTAAAACTCCTTTAGTTTATTAGAAGGCTTCTTCTTGATTTGAATAGTACGATTAAGTGAGTCAAATAATTCATGTGGTGCCTATATTCGAAGCTAAAGCTATTGTTTTCCTTAGTGTTGGCAGCAGCAACACACAGGATTTCCAAAAGGTACGCCATTTTAAAAATAAAAATGTACTGTTGCTGTGCAACATACGGCCAATGCACAACATGTGTAACCCAGACTGTGATTGTAAATTTAATAGAAAGTACCATGTTCTTTTTTTAGGAAAAAAAGGAAGAGTGCAAATGAAATGGACTCAATGCATAAACTGTATCTTTTATTTTTCAATATCCTTGCAACATTATTTTACAGGGTGAGCTTATTATTTTTAAACATGAGCCACAGTGGCTACTAAGAATCTACAAAGGTCGCAAAGTATGACAAAATGGAGTTTATGTCAGATGACTTTTGCACCAGTATGGAGAGAATGTTTCTGCTTTGGTTTTCTTTCACGCCACACACACTTCATCTGTATACAAGTTGGGAAAACAGGAGGTGAAAAAAATGTACTAAAGACTAATGTCCAAAAAGCATTGCTTGTAACCTGAATTAGGGTCTGAATTTATTTGTTTTTTTTAGATTAGTTTTTAACTAGATTTGAAAACTGATTTCAAGGTTTTTTACTTTTTACTGAAAATAAGTGCCTTTGAAAGAAATCAGTTCTAGTTATGGCCCACAAATCTTCAGTTTTTAACTGAAACTAAACAGTGTTTTTCGGGTTGCTGTTCTAGTTGTGCCATTTTGAAAAGTAAATCATGTACAGTTTTGAAAATGTAATTTATGTTTTATCACCTTTTTATATACCCTTTTTTTAAATGGAAGTGTTTTGATCCAAAAAATACTTTTATAATTTAACTGTTTACATTTTCCATCCTTGATACAGTTTATTGTGGAATTTTTGTGTTTTTTATGATATAAAAGTGTAAACAGGTCAATTCATTTCATGCCTTTGTTTTTGTTAAAAACTTACAAGCTGCACATTTTGCTGTATCAAAGTGCATACTAGAATTGTTTTTTGGAAATTCGAAAACAAGGGAGTTTTTAATAAAGGTTGTGCAAAAATGGGATCTAAAATGTTCCAGTTTTTCTGACATACAGAGGAGATTAGAGAAACTATGCAAAAGTAAAGAGATTCTCCATTACAAAAAAAATAGGTACATTTCAAAAGGAGAATATTAGCTGTCTTGGTGCCTGCTGCCAGCTGTGAAGTCTCCCCGCGTCTGGCCAGTACCACATATTAGACATCTTAGAGAAAGCTGGCATGGTACCGGGCACTTTCAACTACAGTTCAGCACATTTCAGAAAAAGATGAGACAGCTATTAGTTCTATTTTTATTTGACTGGAGAGCATTTTAAATGGATTTCAGGAAAAATGCAATTTTTACAGTTCCCTCTGAACCCCTGTGCCCACTGTCTAAACTACTTTTTGGACTGAAATCTGGCAACAAAAATTAAATTCTTCTTGTAGGCAATAAATAATTTTCAGTTTATGCCACAATACATTGGAAGAGGGAATTTATCACCGATATTACTATACAGAGAGGCCCTTCGGCTGGTAACACAAGGGCAATTTTGTTCATGGCGATTACATCCCTGTTTTGTTCAAATTATTTATTTCTAAAAGAAATTTGTAGTGATTTTCTTTAGGGTCTTGAACTTTTATGTGTTTAGAGCGATTTGTCACTCAGCAAACAAGATTCAATAGCGTTTTTTGTCAGTGGCAAAATCACTGGAGACAACCACTCATAATGTATGTAACATATCACCTTTAAAGATATATTGCATGGCATGTTGCTCAAATTGCTGAAGGAGGGTGATTTGTAGCACAACCCAATGCTGTAATCGGGCAGACTGACCATTTAGAAACTCGGGCACTTTTCGAGGGCCCGGGGTCAGTAGGGGGGCCCCATGAGATGCCCCTGGTACCTTTTTCATAGGTTTTTTTGAGTTTGGGCAAGGGCACAGGGGTCCCATGATCCCCTATTGCCCGGGGCCCCATGAGTTGTCAGTCCGCCCCTGGCTGTAATACTATCACCAGTGATTATAGTGACTAATTTGCTAGCTGGAAATCACTGTAATCATTAGGCATTAGGGATTTTTTAGCAGTTAATCAATCTCTGTGAGAAGATTGCTTGTGTATCATCAACCTTATGGTTTCCCCTGCACAATGAAAAAAAGTTTATTAACTATAATAAATTTTTCAAAATAAATTATAGTTTCTAAACAAATTAATGATGTTGATTTCATTTATGAGCAGGGATTGCACAGTTGCATCCTTGTGGCCTTGATGCTTTTTTTCTCATTATAAAGCGGTAAATTGGCATCAGCAAAAAGTAAGCTTAAACTAAAAAACACAGAAGAAAGGCACATGCTAAAGCAAAATAGAAATAAGAATAGGAGACAACAAAACATGTGGCTAAGGGTAAAGCAGGGTTTACATGCAGTTTTTTTTTTATTCAAGTGGGTTGAATAAAAAACACACAGACTGGCTGCTCTATTGTATTCTGACAGTGGGACCTCCACGCATCAGAATACATAAATAGGCGCAGCAGCCATTGGCTGCATACACTGATTGAATGCTGGTTTTCCAGCAAGGCCATTCAACAGAAGCCAGCGTAACGACTGGCTTCTGATAAACAGACGGGTACACATGTACTGAAATTCAGCCGGTTTCTACTGGAATGGCAGAATTGTTAAAACATGTAAACCCAGCTTTGGGATCAAAGGTAAAAAAAATTCACAAACCTGTGTATATTTTCTTAACAAAAGCTGAGTATCTCTTGCTGACACAACCATTTCCAGACCTTATTTGTAGGAGACTACAATAATAACAAGGATAACTTTAGCAGTTATTCAGGATCAGGTATCTTCTACCTTTCTCCTCTCCCCCACCACTGTTTCCTGGCCACTGTTGCTTTAAATTTCGATAGCCAGGACTTACTTTGTGTTAAGGCAGCCATACATGGACTGAAATATGGTCAGTTCAGAAGGGATAATGATTATTATTAGTATTAGTTTATACAGAATTTATATAACGCCAACAGTTTGCGCAGCGCTTTACAAAATGAAGGCAGACATTACAGTTACAATACAATTTGGTACAAGAGGAATCTGGTGTAACAATTATATTGCTAAACTGTATTTGCTCAGTTTCATTTATATGCAGATCAAAGAAACAACCAGGAGGCATTTTGGATAGAGTAAGGGAGGGTTATAACCCCTGTCAGATTTTTTTTAACTATCTGTGCCCCATTGGGGAGACTTCCCTTCTCTTCCTGCCCCATAGCCAAACAGGAAGTGAGAGGAAATCCCTGTAAATTAAGGGAATTTCTTTGGTACCCCCAGGTCACCAGAACTAGTGTCCCCACTGGAAGATTTCCCCTCTATTACTTTTATTTTGGGACAACCCAAAATTTGGGATTTTTTTTTACTTTCACTTTCAATGATAAAGGTAAAACAGGACAAATAGAGAGGGTGGATCTCCCTAATGGGGGCACAGACAGCAATAAAAACCTGACAGGGGCTCTAATCCCTCTCCACTCTATCCAAAACGGAAAAAAAAGTATTGCCTTTAGTTGTACTTTAACCCTTTTGCTGCCGGAGCTGTTTTTGCATATTTTTTGCACATTTAAAAAATAATTTTAGGCCTTAGGATTACACAAAACCCCCCAAACAATATATATTTTCTGAAAGCAGACACCTGAGAAATAAAATAGTGGTATTTCCAATTTTACATGTCACATGATATTACCGCAAAGGTCTATGAAATGCAAAATTTCAGTAAAAAACACACTAAAGTGAATTTTAGGGCAAACAAACGCAATAAATTACCCACATTTTTGGTAAAATGTAAAAGATGGGTTTTTGCTGAGTAAATACACTCACTAGCCACTTTACTAGGTACACCTGACCAATTGCTAATCAGCTAATCACATGGCAGCAACTCAATGCATTTAGGCATCTAGACGTGGTGAAGACAACTTGCTGAAGTTCAAACCGAGCATCAGAAAGGGGAAGAAAGGTTTTTTAAGTGACTTTGAATGTGGCATGGTTGTTGGTGCCAGACGGGCTGATCTGAGTATTTAAAAAACTGCTGATCTACTGGGATTTTCACACACACATCTCTAGGGTTTACAGAGAATAGTCCAAAAAAAATCAATCAATGACACCAGTTGTAGACAAAAATGCCTTGTTGATGTCAGAGGTCAGAGAAGAATGGGCAGACTGGTTGCTGCGACAATCAGATGGTAGGGTCAGAATTTGGCGTAAACAACATGAAAGCATGGATCCATCCTGCCTTGTATCAATGGTTCAAGCTGGTGGTGGTATAATGGTGTGGGGGATATTTTTTTGGCAATAACAATGTGTAAATAAAGTAGCAGGTGAGTGTAGATACCCAACATGTCAAACCTTAAATTTGTGTGCACCAATTGGCAACACACTTCAGTTCCCTATAATTTCTATAGGTGATGGTTCAAAAGCCCATACAGGTCATCAGTTTAGTGTTATGGAGGAGTTCTTGTGCTATTGCTCATACTCTGGCATGCGCAGCGATATATAACGGGTTTCGCAATCAACGATTTCACATGTAGGCGATCCCCAACGCATGCGTTTATGTTCATATGTGCATATATGTGGGGGTGGGAGCCTCAACTTTTTTGGGGGGAAATGTTATGTGCTTGGGTGTAACTTTATTTTTTTGCAATTAAAAACAAAAAAATGTATTTAACTTTTTTTCATCACATAGGGGACACAAAGTCCTCCAGATGTAAAGAGTGTCCCTTTGTCCTTTGTGATGATCTTAAAGTGAATAGCTCCACACCAAGTACACTATATGGACCACATACAGTATGTATATGAGAAACCCTCAGCGCAATGGACCTTCTATAAAACAAGTATTGCAGTTAGCATGTACTATGTTCCCACATGTAAACAAAAATCAAAAGAATGCAGTGCAGTACT